CCGAACTGCTCAACGTTGAAGTTTCTCAAAACACCAAGCAGATTCATACCTCCCAACACCCACTATAGTGTACTGGCCACATGAAGTGCTAGGTGGCGGCAAAGCAAGGGCGGGTAGGGCTGGGCCCTGTGTGTCCAGTAGATGCCATGACTATCTTTTCCAGACAGGATGATGTGTCTTTTGTGGTTTGCACTGCATCTGCCGTTCAAAACTTTGCACAATCGAAGCGTCCCAGCCAAATTGGGGATGCCAGCATGGAGGAGTCCCGTGTTTTTCCTCCAGGGGACCCCATATTGGCAGTAATCCAGAAAGTTGAGGGAAGCTGTGCGCAAAAGAAACTGCATGGGTGCTGTAAGCCAACATCTTGAACTGCCTGGGTTCTCTATCACATAAGCAATGCTCAACTTGTCACAAAGCGAGGCCATAGCAACTGTCCAACAAAGTAGAACATTTCCCAGCCTCACCTTTTCAACATCTGTAGCCGACAAGCCATTACGGCCCCAAAGAAACTCAGAATCATCTCTGAGAGGCGGTGGTCCACCGTCCCACCGCCTGGCTCTGGTCCAACTTTGGCATGGCATGCCAAACCAGATGAGCACCACATCATGTGAAGAAATAAAACTCAAAAGGTTTCTCAACACCTCAACTTGAAGCACGTCACAACCCGGTCCATAGTCAATGTCCCAGGCTGCACAACGAAAACCTTGTTGAACCATTGCTTTGCTGAGGTGTGCTGTGCCACTGAAAATCTCCAACACCCACTTGTTCAGATCCTTCTTCTTTTCCGGCTGAAAAAGCTTTGGACCCACTGTTGTAGGAGTTGAGGAGCAGCTAAAGCCTTTGTCTGAACTGGCCTGGGCAACTTCTGAAACTCCTGGTTCAAACGCGCTGCTGCCTCGTAGCGCCGAACCGAAGAGTCGCTCAACCATCTGCCACGCTTCTTGATGTCCACGAGGCTCCTTGCCTTGGTCATTCTGTCGTGCGAAGGCCCTGAGTGCCTCAACTGATAAAGCACACAATGTTTGCTCGACAACTGCAAGCCGACAAGAGCCTTTTGCCAAGCGTCTTTGAGCTGCCGATACTCTATTGGAAACAACTTTTGTGCCTTGTGGCTCTCCAGGTGTCTGCGGAGCAGCAAGCCCATCCATGGTGTCTCCCTTCCGTCCAGGACTATTGTTTCGTCTGAAAGCCCCATCTTCGAGCTGGCGCCCCTTTCGGAGGGATTGAGGTTTAGGCAAAACACTGGATGCTGCACCGTAGGCTCCACCAGATCGCTCCGATGGAGGCTGATTGCCTCGCCCGGTCTGAGGTAGGCGTCGAACATCAGCAACACCAGAAGCCCTTCGTTGATCTGTTGTCTTCCCAGCATGAAATTCACGATTGCGGCCACCAGCTCCCAAGGTATTGGAGGCCTTGTGGCCCCTGGGTCCAACCTGTTCCATCCTTGCAAGCATCTGCGGGAGCGTGGGAGGCTCCCCTTTTGGGTGCAGTCGGGGACGCTGTCCACCACTGCTGCCAGGGTTTTTGTGGCTTCCCCGATGTCTTCCCCATCTTCGAACATCTCGTTGAGATAGGCGCTCAATGCATTGTCCAAGTTCTTTTGACCTCGGAGAGAGATCTGCTCCAGCTTGGCAAATGCCTTGAAACGAGCCATGCGAATCCTGTAGTCCGAGGCCACCTCCTCTGAAACTGCATTCATCTCCAGAAAAGACTGACCCTGAAAACGAGGAATCTGGCTCACTGTCTCCTTGTATTTCTGTCGCTTGTCTGCCCTTTCTTCTCTGTTGTTTCCCTGCAACTGATTGCGCAGGGACTGTCTGTTGCTCCAACCCACTTGCACTGGTTTCCTCTTTTGGCCAGTGCTCTGAGGCTTGCTTGCTGGAAGAAGTTTTCCCTGTCCTGAGATGTTCCCAGTACCGAGAGCCTTCATCGGCGATATTCAGTTCACTTGGGATCCAGCGGCAAGTCAGGCTAGAGCCTGTGCAAATGAGAAGGCATGCTATGCGTCTACATACCCTCAACATTTGAGGGGCAGAGCTTCTACCCTTGTCAACAGCCAAAACCATGCCAAGATTATCTGCCAAATGAACATGGTGTTGATGAAAATGACGAATGCTCCGAAATTTATGTCGAAGTGTTGCAACAATACCTCTTCCCTCAAGCAATGTAATATGTTCCTTGTAAACCATGCGTTGAGAGAACCGCAAAGACCAGTCACTGTTTTCCAACAAATTTTTGGGCACCTCGGGGAATTGGTTGTCCAGCTCAAATGGGTCATCCATGACATGTCCAACCGGTTTCACGCTAGCAATGTCCGAAAACGGGTCCAAAACCCCTAAAGCGTTCTGCCGAGGTCGATTCACCGGATTGCGGCCCTTGAAGCGCCAACGTTCCCTGTAGCTACCGAGAGTTCTGACTGACTGCTCATCTGCTAATCTAGTACAAACTGCAATCCCCGACAACGAAGCGTCCGAAGCTGTCAACAATGCACTAGTTTGTTTTCTCAGGTCCGTTGCACAGAGAGGCAAGAGTTCGCCAATCCATCTGGCTTCAACTGCCGCACTGCACCACAACCTGCATCGACCATTTGCTTGTTGCACGAAAGCATACAAATGATGTGGAATGCTCAACAACTCTCTCCTCAGCATCATGAAATGTACTGCATGTCCCAACAACCTCTGCACAGCTCTTCCCGTGACTCGGGGCCTGCGGGAGAGCCATTTGAAGGCCAGCTGAACTCGATGAAGTCGTTCTGGAATAGGTGTCACCTGGCCAACTGCTCCATCGATCATGTAACCCAATGATTGTGAGGTGTTGTTTGCATCCATCTCTTCATGTACTGTCAGTCCGACTTGTCTCAACCTTGCAACTGCTCTGTCTTTCGCTCTTTGCACTGCCTCTGCATTGATGCCACAGACGTTCAAATTGTCGGCATAGGGCAGCAGAAGTACCTCGCCATTGCTGAGGCTTGGCGCTGGTTTTCCATCCACCAAAACTCTATCACAAGATACCCCAGCCCCCAATTGCGATTGATGCTGATGCACCCTTTGTGACAGCCACATCGCCCACGACCACCCCATGGGCACCACTCGTAGCATTGGATGCACCCAGTCGTCCGTGTTCAAGGATCCACCGAGTTCTGCACTCACCTTCCAATGTCGGAGTAGGGCACCAGGGATAGGTGGCATGCTAAACAATGCTCTGAGATCTACCGGCAACTGCAAGCTGTAAAAGTAGTCCTTAATGTCGGACTGTGCAACAAACAACTGTTCTCCGTCGGGGATCCTGATCTGAGACCAAGAAGCTCCTGTTCCGGCTGCCAACACAGGCGGCTTTCTGAACATCCTGTTTGTTTCTCTGCAATCCAAAATCAAACGAAGCTTTCCCGATTTCTTGGCCACAAAGAAGGGGGTCACCAAGCCCTGAGGTCTATTTGTGAAATCTATCATGCCAGCTTCAAACAGATCACGCACAAAGTTGCAATACAAACCAATGTCATCCCTGAGAAGGGGGTCCATATAAGTTTGAATTGGCTTATTTTCTTCCATCATTGCCCCAATACCTTCCTCGTCCAACAACATGCAGCGATGAGGGTCCCTGATTGTCTCGCAGCCAACATCATCCAACACGTCGCTCAAAACAACGGCTTGGTTGCCACACGACGGAATCGAAAGCAGGCCTCTGTCGTAGGGACGCACCGTAGTTGCAACCTCGCCCGAGTAGGACAGGTCCGTTCGCAGAAGCTCTTGAACAGCTTCACGCATACTCAAAACTTTTGACAGTGGTTTTGTGTTGGCCACCGCCCTAAAAAGCTCGTGCTGACATGCCTCTTGTGCTCTAGTCCTCACGAAACCATGTGAAAAATCGCCATCGCGGCTAGGAGAGTACATCTCATTCAAGGTTCTGATGATTGAATTAACAGAGTCCACTCTAGAACGGACGGCAGCTCGACGTCGACGCGCACTCACTGACAGCCCGGCCTCTCTCGGAACTTCAGGGCAGAGAGGCATAGGAAAAAGCTCTCTCCACCGATCATCATGGCCTTGAGCCTCTCCATGTAGGGGTGAATTCTCTGTGCTCATGCAGCGGGCCTCCACTCTCGGCTGGTCAGCTCTGGCCCTTGAACCGCCAGCCTCATAGTCGCTCATCCTTCCCCCCCGCCTTCGGCCGCGCCTTTCTTCGGGTTGCGACCTTTACGGCGGGCTGCTTGCTCCTCACGAGCTTTTCTGGCCTCCTTCGCGATGGCTGCCTCAGCTTTCAACTCATTTGCCACATGTGCAGCCAATGTAGAGTCAATGCCTTGTCCACTGCGCCTGTACTTCCAACCCATCATCACATCAGATGCACTGTAGTCAGGCTGTCCAGGCGAAATGCGGTGGGCTTCTCTGATCACTTGAAGCCTGCGGCACAACAATTCAGCTGACTGCAGGGCTGGAGCGTTCAGCTGGTCGACCATCACCATGCTCTCCAAGATTCGAGACAGGCACTCATGCTCATAGGTGGAGCGATCTCCTCTGGGAATGTCTGAGGTCCGCATCCAGTGCTCGTGGAATGTGCTCGGAGTGAATGCTTGATCTCTCAAATCCTTCAAGATCTTAAGAGCCGTTGGGGGACCAGTCAACTGAATCCCACCTCCGGAAGGCTCTGCATCATCCATCAAAGACACTGCTGCGGGAAACTCTTGGCGGCGAATACCTTGCGCATCAAACTTGATCGGCAGCACTCGAAGGTCCTCCATGCGATATGCAGCTGCCTCTGAAGGCTTCACCTTCTTCACTAAGATGCTCCCAACACCTGCAGGAACCACTCCTCGCTCGCCAATGTGAACTGATCCAGCGGGCAGGGCTGTGGGTTCCCGAGCCACCACATCTCCTTTCTTGTAAGGCCCAGCCTCCTCCAAAGCAACCCAAGTGTCCACCCTCTCCACAACAGCAGCGACGGGGGCAGCAGCTGCTCCAGCAGGAGCAGCCGGGGCAGCTGCAGCTGCCCCCAAAGCCCCAGGCAAGGGCACCACGGGTGCCGGAGCTGCAGCAGGAGCCGGCGCTGCAACCGGAGGAACATGGACACCTGCAGCATGCATATGGGCGTTGGCAAGCACTTGACCTTGCATTCGAAAGGCCCCCAACTCCTGTGGGGTAAGAGGGTCAAAGCCGTAGACATGGGCCGGGTTGATGTGTGGTGGCACGGCCCCATTCTCTCCACAGTAAACAAAGCCAGTGAAGTCGGAGTTGGTCGAGGAGAGCTCTTCGATGTACACATCATGGTCTGGTGTCAACACGGCCCATTCTGAACCGCCAGCGTGGGCCAGCAATGCTCTGCAATGCCAGATGGGACCTGGCTCGCCATAGTTCACCAAAGCCATCCCTCCAGCTATCATTGTGTAAGCTGCATGAAACGGCTTGACAGGCCTTGCACTCCTTTTCCACCTTTAGGCGATCCTCCTCCCGACCGACGCAACTCGAAATTCCTCGAGCTCAACCAGGCAAGGGCCACCAACAATGCACAAATCAATATGCCCAATCCCAGCAACAATGGAAAGCTATGCGGTCCGCTTGGGATCTCGAAAGTGCAATGGCAGTGGCACGGTGGACAAACGGGGCTCTGTTCCTTCCAGGTCGACCGTACGATCCACCCGATCGAGAAAGCGCAAGTGACCACAGCCACCTGCACTTCCATGGCCGCCCCCCTAGAGACCTTGAGAGTAAGCCACGGCATATATCTTCCTCTCCGTCATCTATGAGTAAACTCTGCCAATATCTATATATCTGTGTGTGTGTGGGTGGGTTTTGTTATTTGTTACGTAAATATACCTAAGACACCCGGGTATGTAAAATAGTGGTCGTTTTGTAAAACTCAACTAATTTCTGTCGCTTGATGTAGTTTTAGTCGTTTTCTGGAAAAACTGTCGCTTCATGGGTTTGCCTGCCACTTTGGACTTTCAGTAGTGCAACAAAAACATGCGCAAACAAATTGCGCTGTTTCGGTGCCGTTTTGCGCCGTTTTGGTGCCGTTTTGCGCAGTTTCGTTTCTTGTGTTTCTTTTGGGTGATGTGTCAAAGTTTATAAGTTCCCCCATTCACCCCATTCTATCCAAAATCCAAAAAGTGCTGCACTACAGAAATTTGCGCCGCCTGCCCCAACAACTATGTTGTGTTCGAAACAACCAAACAATACATACAAAGGAAGATGTAGGTATATATATATTTTTATGTGTGTGTGATATATGTGGGGTCCGGCCTTTTTGGAAGCAAGGACAAGCGGTCAGAACCCAGACAGGGCGTTCATTCACGAGCCGAGAGTAAAGTCCACAGCCGATGCTGGCCCAACCAGCAAGCGCTGTTGGGCCAGTGGTTTCGGCTCGCGCCTCCAAAACCTTCACAAAGAGGGAGAGACGAAAATAGCCTAGCACTTCAAGAACCCGTGAGTGTGAGAAGAATGAAGACACTCCAAGAGCGGCATTTTGGCCGGCTGGTTTGGATCTCTCATTCACTGAGTCACCCTTGGGTGGATGCTTTCTGCTGAGTTGCAGCTCCTAAAACATCCTAAAACCATCTAAAGCCTCAAAACAGCTACTACTCCACCCATGGCGCTACGGATGCTTTCCCTGGTCTATCTCACACACACCTAGCCGCCTAGCTCTTCCTTGCCAGGTGGCTGCTTCTGAAAAACAGCACCTCTCGAGACCGCTTGGGGCTCCGTTGTGGCCTGGTCGGAGGCCCGCCCGAACCAAGATAGAAGAAAACAGCTGTGAACCTCTACGTTCTTCTGCATCTGGCTTCTGTGAAAAGCTGACTCCTGGCAAGTACTTGTTCATTACCAGTCCCAGATCTCAACTTTGCCTGACACGTAGCGCGGCCAAGTGCACGATGCTTGATCGTGAACTCTAGTGCCCCGCGATGGGTAGATGTGGATAGAATCAAATTTCAAGCCTGTTTTAGACTTGGCAACTGGTAGCAGCAAAGCGCGGGGTTCATCATACTGGTAGCAGCTTCTATGTCCTGCCCTTTTCTTGACCACATTTTTTGGGCCTCCCCTTCTTTGGGACGTTTGGATCCGAAACGCTGCTACCCTCACAGGTGAGTTGCACCAACCCGAGATGGCACCGCACACTCCCCATGTCCAGTGCCTGCCATACTTGGAGTAGCCCGTGCCCAAGGCGTACAAAGCGCGGGGGCGGACCACCTCCAATTCAACGTTGGTCGCATACCTCGGGAGGCTAGTACGCTAGGGCGTCACCGCCCCGATCCTTACCAAGAAATGTTGATGTTCCAAGTGGTGTCATTATATCTTTGTCGTTCATGTTTTGGTGTAGCTTAGCCATCTGCAGCTATCTTCGTTCAACTTCTCAGGCTTCAACATCACCCCCTCACCGCAGGGGCCACTCCGTGCCGATGGACCGGATCTGCTCCCGCATGGCAAAGTTGTGGACTGCCCAGACGTTACTCTGGACATCTCCTGACGCAGCGGAGTGGAGTTGTGAGTCATCACCATTCTTATCAATTTCATTTACTGTTTGCTTGTGACGCCTCGTATGGATGATGTCTTAGCATCTTGATAGCATCTTGAGCAAAGCAAAAACGAAGAAAAGAACGGTCCACCACAGTCCCCAGCTATCTTACTTTTCCACGTGGTGCCTCCCAACAATGCTACGTTTATTACTTGTACTGTAGATTAATTGGGATGTTTCCCTCCTTGCGTCCAAGCAACACTACGCTTTAAACTTGTAGATCCTTGACAAATTGCACCCCCTTTGCCTCTAAACGGCGCTACGCTTGAAACTTGTGGATTCTGTTGATTTTTCCGCCCCTTTACATCCAAAAAATCCTAGGCCCTAGGTTTTAAATTTCTAAACGCTTCGAATTTTCAACCTCGCTTGCCTCCAAACAACACTACACTTTGAACTTGTAGAGTCTTTTAAGTGCCCCCATTGATGCTGTAGGTTTTTGACTTGATGCGTTTGGTCTTGTTTTGGTACACTTGAAAAAGGAAAGCAGGAAAGGAAAGAAGCAGCGAAGCAAAAAGCAGAGAAACAGAAAAGCAAGAAAAGGAAAGAAGCAAGACAAGCAGAGAAAAGCAAAGAAGCAGAAAAGCGGAAAAGCAGGAAAGCAGAGAAGCAAGAAAAGCAGAGAAGCAGCAAGAAAAGCAGAGAAGCAAGAAAAGCAAAGAAACAGAAAAGCAGGAGATCCAAAAATAGACCCTAAACCTTATCCAAAAACAAATCCTATTCCATTAAGTAACGGGCTGACTGACTGACCGACTAACCAACTAACTGATGAGCTAACCGAGCAGGTGACTGACTGACATGGCAGCAGAGATCGGGACCTCCTTCGGAACAGGACATCAAAGGGAAGCAAACAAAGCTTTGGTGCCAAACTGCGGGACCTTTCACGAGATTGAAACGAAGCAATTCTGAAAGACTTCCTTCCAACATGGAAATTGAAAAAAAGAGAGCAAAGCAATTCCGTAAGTTCCTTCCAAAATGGAAATTGAAGAGATGACTACAAAGCAATTCGGTGAGAATTCTTTCCAAAAGGGAATCGAAGAGATAAATGCGAAGCATTTCTGCAAGAAATCTTTTCAAAATGAAAGTTGCAGAGATGACTATACGAAGCAATTTCGTGGGAAATTCTTCCAAAATAGCAATTCTGTGAGACCCCCTTCCAAAATGGAAGTTGCAGAGATGAGAGCAAAGCAATTCTGCGTCCTTCCAAATGGACCTTGCCGAGATGAGAACAAGTCAAGTCTGTGAGACTTCGGTCAAAAACGGAACTTGCAGATTTGAGAACAAAGCAATTCCAAGAGGCTTCCAAGATGGAAGTTGAAGAGATGAGAACAAAGCAATTTTATTTGTTTATGAGAATTCTGTCCAAAAGGGAGTCGAAGAGATAAAAGCTAAGCATTTCTGCAGGAAACCCTTTCAAAATGGAAGCTGAAGAGATGATTACAAGGCAATTTCGTGACAATTTCTTCAAAAATTACGAACTTGCAGAGGTGAGAACAAAGCAATTTCGTGAGACCCCTTTCCAAAATCAAAGTTGCAGAGACGAGAACAAAGCAATTCTGTGAGACTTCCTCCAAAAATTACACTGAGGAGTGTGAGAAAGTCGCGTGGAGAATGAGAGTGTGGACGGCGGAGTGGGGAGGAGAGGAGAGGAGTGGAGAGGGTGTAGTGGTTCAGAGCCTGTTCAGACCCTTTCTGTAAGGAATGTGGAGTGTGGAGTGGAGTGTGTGGAGAGTGGAGCGGAGACGTCACGCACAAGCAAATTGCGGTGAAAACGCGTCACGCGATAGAGACATAGACATGACACAAAGACACCTTGCCTTTCAGAGGCTACAGTGCTCACCTATGATGGCTGGAAGCAGTGGATGTATGGTGCCAAAGGCATTCACCATCCAAGCCAACACTGGGCAGCAGCATACCATGCTGCCACCTCAGCGGCACGCCATCCCCATGCACAAATGGCAGACAAAGCTCCAAGGCCCAAGCTCATGCCAGTGACAAGGGGTTCACCAGTGACCAGCAAAGCAGCAGTCTCAGGGGATGACAGGCTTACAACTAATAGATGATAGTGATGATGATGCCAAGCAACAAGCCTCATTACTATAGTTTTTGGTTAATTGTGTTAGTGGATACTTTTGGGGGGCTTTAGTCTTCTGTACTTTTAATGAACTTTTCGAAAATCTAATTGACTTTCAATTACTTCTAAGTAGTTCTTAATTGAACAAGTCCTTTTACATGTCCTTGCATGTTTGGCTAAATCTCCTTCAGGTGTCTGTTAGATTTTCTTTACATGTCCGTTTCATGTCCCTTCTAAGCGCCTTGCTTATTCAGTCTAACTTGTTTTTTGGTGTAATGTCTTTGTAATTGCCTTTTCCTTTGTGTTTAAAATGTCAGTTGAACTTGTCTGTAAAGTTCCTTCTTCAAATCTCCCTTCAAAAAATGTCCTTCAATGTCCTTTCCAAATGTCTTGCATATTTCCTCTGATATTTCTTTAATTGTCCTTCAAATGTTCCTTTCAAAATGTCATTGTAATGTTCCTTATCATGGTTCTTCTAAATTTTGTGTTTTTTCTTAAGCTGTCCTTTAAAACATCCTTGCATTGCAATTTCCCTGCGCATGTCATTTCAAATGTCCTTGCTTGAGTGAGGTCTAGATAGCTATACCCGAAACTATTTCTACGCTTAAAAATTCCAAGCGGGAGGGGCACGGGGGAGGGCGCAGCGCCTCCCCCGCAATGCAAACTAGTAACAACAGCAGTCTGACCGGTTCATAACCATGGCACAGTTGGCTGGTTTGTGGTCGTGTAACTTGGCAGGACCAAAAAAACAAATGTCACGGAGTTTCCCCAATGAATCTTCCTTTGATAACTGCAATGGTCTCTGCGCTGGGTATCTGGCCAAAGTTTTGCAACTGCCTTCCTTTCTTCCTGCCTTCCTTCCTTCCTTCGTTCCGATTCCTTCCTCCCTGCCTTCCTTCCTTCCTCCCGCCAGCTAAGCTAAGCATTGAAAAAAAAAAACACTATATATATATATACCACTTAAAAAGTACCCCCCTAAAATATACCCCCTTTGGATCCCTACCCTTCGATGAGCAACATGAGAGGCAATGACAAAGGTCCAACAGTTTTTGGATCGACACCACCAACAACCCAACGGTTCCAGAGTACGTCTCAAAGTACTGGCCTTCCTCACCCCAACCACAGCTGTCACGTGGAAAATCCAAAACAAGGGCCAGGGTCCCGGGCCTCAAGGGTTCCACAGCCATCAAGTACAACAAGGCATAACCCACCGGAGCAGCAGCTTCATGCTCTTCTCTTCAGCTGCAGTCATCCCTTTCAACCGAGCATCTCACCATGGCCTGAAAGTGCATGAGCCAAAGCTGATCGATCTGCCTGGCAGTCCGAATCAGTGACAAAGGCGGCCTTGCTTGCAACATCTTGCAACAAGCTCCTCAAAACACTGCAGGTCTCTCTATTATCCTGGAGTCCTAGACCAACTGGCACTGTGGCACTTTAGACTTTGCTCGAGCATTTCGGATAATGGCAGCTTCCTTGTTACGTTGTGGGTTGTCTGCCTGACTTGTGACTGGGGATTTGAAGCAGGGTGACCGCCAAAACCTGGTTCGTGTGGCAACTGTTCTTGCTTGCTCTCAGACCACTCCCACCTGTCCACGTGCACGTGCAGCTGCATGCCCAGGTAAGCCAGCAAGGGCTTCTCCACCACCGCACGCAGCAGGCTGCACCTGTGGAGATGGAGCTCAAGTGGTACAGTCAGGACACCACGTGAACTGGTGAGTCACCTGTATGTGCTTCGAAGAATTGGTGAGTCATTGCTTGAAATCCCTTGACGTCATTGGCTTAGATCTTCAGGTCAGGAACCAAAGACCAGTGTGCCAGCGGTCACTGTAACATCCCTTGCAAGGCTAATCGGATCGCAGAAGGTGGTATTGTATTGGGCTGCATCCTCTGTCGTCCTTGGCAACTGGCCACAGCTTCTGTTGATGGCGCTGCCTTTTTTCAGAAGCTCTTCCCACGATAGAAAGCAACTCTCTTGAGATGTTTTGGGATGAACACCGTGCAGAATCATCCTGTGTTGGAACGAGAGACCAACAACAGCTCCTGAGCTTGAACCTCATCAGCTCCGTCTCAGCATCGCCCAACAAACCCAAAAACATCAGGTCAGGTTCAAGATCCTACAGAACAATGTGAACACGCAAGCCAACCAGGAACAAGAAAACCCTCGACCTGGTGAAGATGGTGGTGAAGTGAACCATGTAAACAAAAATATGTGCCCTTGAGCTCGCTTCAGCTGCTCTGCTCTTCAGCACCAGGGCACATGAGGGGTGCAGTGCAAACATAGAGCTCGGAGCGGCGTAGCTCCGGGTCAATCTGGTGCATCTGAGAGATCACTTCCAAGTAGTCTCCCACCTGCCGAATGGCCGTTGCGTCATGGCCCCGTCCGGTCCAGAATGGATCTTGAGCAATTGGGTGCGTTCTCCGGGCCCTGTGATTTGACCCGGCAGTTTTTGGACAGGACCACATTGAAATGCTTCAAGCATTCCGGCTGGTTGTAATCCAAACGACACCATTCGCAGACTTAGTCACTTGGTCAAAGGAACCCAGCAGGTCATGCAGTGTTCGATTCGGTACCCCTGGCCTTTCGTCTTTCATCTATCTTTTCATCCCAATTGATTGTTCATAGGCGGGTTGGTTTTTCATTGTATAAATTGTTTGGATTTATAAAATGTGAGGGATATGCGTTTTGGTTTGTAAAATGAAAAGCCAACCAGTATATAAAACGACAAGCATAGGTCATGATAGGTTAAGATAGAAATCTACATCCAGAAGAGGCAATTTATGAGATGAGAATTGCGAATCGGGAACTCTGACCAGCCAACACCTCGCCAAGTGAATTCTTATAAAATGCCATTTGTGGGTTCACCTGCCATCTATTTCTGTCATTCACTCTCCAAGTTACTGAAGTTTATCAAATGACCTGTGGAAATCGATACTCCAAATCTTAGGTAATTATCCCATGTTTTCACAAAATACAGGCCGTTTTGTTTGTAAAATTTCATGAGGCTTCATTCATGGGGGATATCTTTTCCATCTCTTCTTTACCTTTGTTGGGGCCGTCTGCGTGCACACTATCAGACAGTATACACATCATGTCCTCTCTCCTTGGTGGTCTTTGGAAAGACCCGCTATCTTGAGGCACACTGCTGGTGTTGAGGGGCCTGTGCACCCGCACCTTGTAGTAGCTGCTGCGTTCATGGATGGCCTCCTCAAACATATGCACCAAATCAACAAATAGCTGAGCACTGCCTGGGCAAAGCTCATGGGACGCCGCACTCTACAAGCTGTGCACGACTTTACACCCAAGAACGCCAGCGGATGCATCACGAAACAATGCCACGGCCAAACAAAGTCGGGGCTCTCCTAACACATCAACCAGACCCATAACAGTGGCCTCCAGGGGACCGTGCCGCGCCTTGGGAGGATGGCGCGCATTCGCCCAAGGCGTGGCACTGAAGGGTGCAGTGATGGGCCCAAGCATCGTTGCCTCGAGGGCAGTCTCGCATGAAGATCCTGGCTCTGAGGATCGGCGACAGGCGTCGGACTGGACCCCTGCAGACCTGGCAGTTCGGGGGTCGGTCACCAATCGACTGGCCCCTGGCCCAGTCAGCTCGAGTCTTTTTTTTCCCGCTTACCCCGGCAGGTCTCACGCAGCTGACTGATCCCTCCCGTGCCTGGCCTCACCTGCACCTGCCAGAAGCGCAGGGCTGCTTTCAGCATGGTGGCCGGTTCCAAGACCTGGCTCGGCAAAAGCTCCAAAGGACTGGCTCGGATTCCTCTAGCCTCAAGGAGGGTGAGTGACCACAGGACCAGTTGGGACCAGCTCAAAATCCAGGGATCTTCAACTATCACTACAGTTTTGCATGTTCAGCACTTGCCCCATTCCACTGGCCCACTAAACTTAAAGTTCCACTGGCCTCAACAAACCACAGGCCACCAAACACCCCGATTCCGCTTCCGAAAGGCAAGGTCAAGTACAATTCCAAACCAAACCGCCCTCCTGAACCGCGCTCTTGAAGCCGCTCTTGGCTCCAAGGAGCCAGGGTGGAATGCACTCCAAAGACCACCAGCCCCAGGAGACGAGAAGCCTGCCAACCTGAGCCAGGAGAAGGACGCCCCTCGACTCAAAGGGGTGAACGCGTCCTTGCTAGTAGCAATGGCCTCCAACCTACTAGCTTCTTTCTCCTAGTAGCGATGCCCTTTGTTGCTAGTAGCTTCTTGTTCCTAGTAGTGTCCGTATATCACGTGTTTGGGGGACACCCCATGATCCCTACATGGCCATTGGCCTGTGCGCCATTGGCCAGGCGGCGCACCAAAACCGCTGGAGTTCGGACAGCTTGATGCCACAAGCTTCGTAAGCGGTTCTTACCATCGTGTCTGCCCAGGCCACCATGGTTTACCTAGGCCCTAGGCCACCGAGAACATGTCCAAGCCGTCGCTGCTTGCTGCGCGCGGATGTTCTGCACTGGCACCAACTGCAGCTTTGGAACGGTTCATGTGCCCAGCCCCACGTCTCCAACCAGCCTGGCAACGTGGAGGCAGCCACAGGCTGCGATCGAAATTGGATCGCAAACGATATTTAAACAGGCCCCGCCCCACCAAAACCAATGAATTTTGATGCATATGGGTGAAAGATCAGCCAGAAACCCTGCCAGCGCCCGCTTTTTGGACCGGTCCTTGCCTCTGTGGGCACCACCAGTGCAGCCGCCGGCTCCTGCCGAAGCGACCCGGCGGACCGAGGAAAGACCGAGAAACCAAGGACATCCTGAAAGATGTATAGACTGGGTTCACATGGGAGTTGAGGTGTCAAGTGACATAAGGAATAGAGTAGGTAAGTCCTATGTCATCCGAAGGCAGTATAGTAGTCGACTGATTCCGGGTGCAAACCGCCTGGCACCAAAAAACGTCCTCGGCATCAACGCGACGCCCGCGATCCCGCCGGTTCTCCTGAAGCCCTGTGAAGGGCGAGCTGCGGAAGAGAGGTGCGGCTGTGGCGAGGTCGCCTGGAGTAGGGTCCAAGGATCCATCTCACCAGCGAATCCACAAAAATGCTCCCGGGCAAAAGCATTGCTGACATAAAGACGGTTGTCCTATTGTTAGTTCCTCCTTTTTTCCTGGGATCGTCTTCAGCGGGGTCACTCCGGGTCGCCACCGCTGAACAGCCTGCCACCCACTGGCTGCTGTTCAGCCAACGCCGAAGCTGGTCTCGATTGGCACGGAGGTCCTTGGCTCGTCATGGATGCGCTGCCCCAGCATCGGGAGCAGAATACAACGAAGTCGACGGGCACACGAATGGTAGCTCGAACAACTTCGTACCAGCTCCATTTAAAAGATTGCGTGAGTTGAGTTGTTTGGATATTTTTGTGGCTCCAACCAATCTCATCCCCTTGTCAGTCACCTCCATGTATCAGGACAAACACCCAGAACCCCTCCATGTCTGTCCATCTAACTCTTCCCGCGCGCGTGCTTCGAAGTCGCGAGCGCGCCAAAGGGCCAGGAGCTCGCCTCTGCCACCGTTCGAACGATTGGATCAACGGGTGGATCTGCCGTCGGCTGGTTGACGAAGAAGAACATGACACAACCACCCAATGCAAAGACCTCTTACAAGCCCCCATCCAAAAAAAGGCCGCCTTTTAGACATCTATATATTGTCACGTACTTTGATACCATTTGCAAGTGGGTTTGACCTTGGTTGGGCTGAAAAAACTTCAACCAAAGGGGTGTCCCTATCTATGTGGCTTTCTGATGCAGGAAATAAGCAACTGTTTTGTTTATCACTGCCTCCCTTCTCCACTACTGTAAGTCACTCCAGTCGAAAGAGGGGATCGCTGAACACTAGGTCGTGGACGGAAGCATTGCTCCAACCCACAGCATTAGATCTAGCAAGTTCATGCAGGAAACTCGTGAAATATCATATCTGAAAAAGAAAAGGACCCACCCCCCCACTCACCTAATTAACTGCCCACCCAACTGCGAACCAAAAATCCGGCCGCCTCACGGATGAAGTCCAAATGCCAGCGGGCCCCCAGCAGTGCCAGTGCATCCTCCAGGCTTCCCAGCGCATCCTCGAAGCTCCCGCGCTCTGCAAAGACCCTCGGTGGCGGGGCTCTGGTGAACCACTTTCGATGCAAATCTGATCTTTTTCAGCTCCAGCCGTCAGCATCCGTCAGCATCCGTCAGCGATTTTAGAGGTTCCCTGATGGCTGAGCGGGCGATACTCAAAGGAGAGTAGTCTTTCCCAGAGCCCGGTTCCAATTTTTGCGTCCGCTGCCGGTGGATCCAGCTACCACCATGGCACTATGTTAGGCACGAGTGCTTGTCAACCCAAACAAGACTGAAAACGTGCAGGTGCTGCAAGAGCTGCAACTGCTGCTGCTGCTGCTGCGACCGGGAGAGCGACTATAACTGCTACCAAGATTAGCACTACGACTACGATTACGAATACGGCGACTGCTCTGTGTACTACTCCTTCCTTAACGACGACAACAACAACAACAACAGCAGCAGCAGCAGCAACAGCAACAGCAACAGCAACAGCAACAACACAACAACAACAACAACAACAACAACTACAACAACAACAACAACTACTACTACTACTACTACTCCTTCTTTGACTACTACTCCTTCTTTGACTACTACTACTACTACTACTACTACTCCTTCTTTAACTACTACTACTACTACTACTGCTGCTCCTGCTCCTACTCCTACTCCTACTCCTACTCCTACAACTCCTCCTGCCGCTGCCTACTGCCACTGCTACGCAATCCACTGCGGCAAATCGACCTCCACGTGGATTCTGGACTGCCGCTCTTCGCCGCACCCTCCGGCCGAGCCACTGCGCGCGCAGGAACATGGCCGTCACCAGGCCATAGAAGCCTCGGTGACGTCGGCGAAAGCGCCAAACGGATGGGACATGGAGTCGTTCTTTGGCGATCGTTTGCGGCGCGCACGACCCACCAGCCATCACCAGCCTTCTTGAACCACCCCATGAAAAACCATACCCTGGAGTGCGCGGAAAAGACATCTTCTCCACGAGTCGTGAATGGTTCAGGGTGCCCCCTTGGCCCACGCCTGGTGCTGCCCAAAGAGCAAAGGCCTGCCAAGGAGGATGGAAGTTGTCGCTGTTTCAAGACCTGGCCGGGTGTGTCAGTGTGTCGGTGTGCAAGGTCAAGGCCCATGAAGAAATTGGGAGTGCAGGTGCACCAAGTGAGGTTTGAGGTACATGAGAAGTGTACCAAGTTTGCTAGGCTTCGGTGCACAAATCGAGTGTGTACCATGTCGGATCGCATACTTTACTGGAGCCCTTTTTTGGAGCAGAAAAAGTCCGCTGCAGGACACGCGGGTTATGAGCCCAAGCTTTTTTCCGAAGTCCACCCGTGACTGACACGAGGTCAGCACGGTTGTTGGTCCCCATGCCGGCTGCGGCTGCGAAGGTGGCGGCGAAGGCAGCTGCGCCGAAGGCTGCTGGCGGCCAAGATGCTGCGGCGAGTGCAGGAACGCCAGACGGCAGCGGCGGTGGCATGCAGAGCGCGGAAGAAGAGGCAGAGCAGCTGGCGATCGAGGACGCCAAGGACGCAGTGGCAGTCAGGCAGACTGCATTGGCAGTGGGACCGCCTGTCTCCTATGGACCAACGAGGAGAGCGGGCAAGGATGGGCCAGGGGTCGATCCAGCAGTCAACGCTGGTGAACCCCTTCTGGTCGCAGCGGATGCAGGGTGAGGCCATCTTAAGAGCGATGAGGCCAGCATCACTGGGACCCACGGAGGAGACTGGTGCTGCTAGCCGGGTGGAGCCTGAGGATGGCGGCCAGGGGACCTTTGTGGATGTGCAGGAGGTGCTCAGGGCAGTCCTCACCCAGAACGCATCCCTGAAGAAGGAGCTCAACGAGTTGAAGAAGAAGGTGGAGTTGAAGGAGAATCAGGAGGTGAAGAACTCGACCCCGAGACCACCTACCAGTACACCACCGCCTTCACCTCCAAAGGGGCCCCCACCGAAGACTCCGGAACAACACTTTGAGAGTCAGGCATGGGTCGACTTGGGAAGGATGCCTGAGTTTCCGGTTGGGGCTACTCCGAGGACTCCAGGACCAAGGGGAGAGAATTGGTCCATCTGGCCTGGAGTACCACAAGTGCCCGATTCTTGGGAAGGTCATGGGAAAGGACTACATCCGGGAGGCCAACGACGTGGCGATCTGGGGATGGAACTAGGTGCAGAGCATCACCACAGCAGGGCCCATCAAGCTGGGTCGCCGCTGGAGCAAGCTGCTCATACGGTGTTGAGGCAGTTGGGACAAGGTGGAAGTGATGGGTCGTCGTGGATGGGTGAGAACGTCCGATCGGTGGACCTACCCCAATTGGCAGACCTCAAGGAGGGTGACCTGGGAAGCCTAATCTTGGGAGATTGGATTCAACTGGTGTCACCAACCATGAAGGACCTCTCAACCAACAGTTGGATGTGGTGGGAAGAGGTCATGAGGTCTGCGATGGAAGCCTACCAGGAATGGCTGAGAGCTGAGCCGGTCCAGAAGCTCTATGTTCGACCTCGAGCCTTGGCTGAACGTCATGGAGGTTGGGCACGACTGGAGCAGCGAGGACAACTGATGCTGCTGAACGCCGTCCCAAGCGGGGTGAAGTCCGAGATCCTTGCGAGTAGGACTACCAGCTCAACGGAGGTGATGTTTGCGCTCTTCCGTCGATATCAACCTGGAGGGCTGGTAGAGAGATCAAGGTTGCTGAGATCCCTCGTCGAGCCGAAGACGCCTGGGAATGTCACGGAGTGGTTGGAGATCCTGAGAGGCTGGAGGCGCAGCTTGAGACGGGCTCAGGAGCTGGACATCACCACACCAGACGCCACGCTACTGCTTGGGGCTGTGGACCGCATGTCAGCACCAGTGGTGAAGGCATCAAGTCAAGCAGCATTCCGAGTGAGTTCGACGAGGGCTACGCTGGGGGTGGATGTGACGCCTACCCTTGCATCGGTGTTGGGCTTTGCGGACTCGCTGTTGGCAGAGGCGGAGACGCTGGCGCTGGGGGATCCGACGCCGGTTGAGGAGGTGAAGCCGCCTACAACGGTGAAGGTCAAGGCAATGGCCACGACCCTAGAGGAGAAGCTGGACAAGAGCTCAGCCTACAGGGTGAAGAATGAGACGACGGAGAAGGTGTGCCGCTTCTGGGGCTCTGAGGAGGGGTGCCGGAGGGGACAAGATTGCAAGTTCAAGCACGACTGGACTGGCATTGAGAAGAAAGGGAGATGCTTTGGATGCTCGGCCCAAGGGCATGCGAAAAGAGACTGCCCAGTGATGAAGCCGAAGGGTTCGACGCCAGAGAAGCCAGTGGTGAAGGTTGTGAAGGAAAAGAACGCACAGCCTGTGAAAGCGGAGACTGCGGAGCCCATGGCGAAGACTGGGGGGAGTGAGGCTGGTGACTCAGTGGCACCCAATGAAGGGGATCGAGGTGCGGGGACGGCCGGAGATGTCAAGGACCTCTTGAATGAAGCGACCACGCTCCTGAAGAGCCTGAGACCGGCCACCTCGATCAAGACGATCCGTCTGAGCAGCCTTGAAGTCCGTGAAGGAGGACGGGCCTTATTGGACGGTGGGGCGACCCACTGCTTGAGACGGGCAGCGAACGAAGAAGAGTGGCAAAGGGGCCAGGAGGTCAATGTGGAGCTGGCGGCTGGATCGGTGGTGCTGAGGTTGCTCCCGTGGACTAAGACCCTGTTGACTAAGGAGGACGTCCAAGTCATCGTGCCGCTGGGGGTGCTGATCTCGCTGGGCTATGAAGCGGTGTGGGAAAAGACTCGTTTCGAGCTGACGGACCCCGCCGGGATCACCCTGGATACGAGGATCGAGAACTCTTGCCCCACGATCAGTGAGGATCTGGCCATCGAGCTCATTCAGGAGATTGAGCGGAGCATGGTGAGAGAAGGAGCTCGCCTGGCATTTCTGGCCGGAGAGGAGACGGGGTTGGAGGTGAGCGATCAAGAAGCGTGGCACTTGGGAGAACTGAAGGAACTCTTTCCTCAAGTACCACATCACATGCTGGAGCGGCTGCTGCCGAAGAAGGGGTGGACAGGAGAAGGGCTTCCGTGGAACCGCCACGAGCGAAGGAGAGTTCGAAAGGCGAAGGAGGTCGTGATCCACCTGTTCAGTGGGGATTCTAAGCAGTTCTGGCAGAAGGAACTCGAGGCGGAGAACCGGGTGGTTCTTTGCGTGGACACAGTGATCAATCCGGCCATGAACCTCTTGAGGGACGATGTCTTTGCCTACTTGCTGGACATCGCCGACAGTGGCACCTTGTGCACGCTGCTGGGAGGTCCACCATGTAGAACAATGAGCCGTCTTCGATATCGACAGCCTGGACCCCCCGCCGCTGAGGGAAAGGGAGGGCCCATATCGGTTTGGCTTGCCCCAGTTGGACAGGTATCTTCAGAAGCAGGTAGAGGATGATACGATTCTCTACCTCAGGCAGCTCTACCTGTACCATCGAGCGGCGACGGCAAGGAAGTCCCAGGTGACCCTGTCGGTCTTGGAGCAGCCCGAGGACCCCGAGGAGTACATCAGGGAAGAAGAGAAGAAGCTGCAGCGCTATGCCTCTTACTGGAGTTGGCCGGAGTGGAAAAGCTTCAAGAAGCGATGGAACATGATGGAGGTCTGCTTCGACCAAGGCCCCATGGGTCACCCTCGGAGGAAACCCACACGACTGGGAACGAACATCCCGAAGTTGGCGGAGCTCCAGGACCTTCGAGGACCCGGGGCAGGGGGTGGAGTGGCGCTGGCGGAGGACTTGGCGGAGCGCATTAAGCAGAGCCGGACCTGGTCGGCATGGGCACCTGGTCTCAAGGCTGCACTGGTCGCGGGGATTCGAGATGCTCTCCAACAACCTGAAGGCTTGGTCAAGCGAATGGACCTTCTGGCCTGGAAAAAACATCTTCTCAACGGTCATATACCGTACTCCAGAGAATGCAAGTCGTGCGTTGTCGCCGCCTCACGTGGGCGTGCACACAAGCGGATCCCACATCCTGACTCGTACACGCTGTCGATAGACACAGCTGGACCTTTCCAGGAGGCGGACGATCAACTTGGTCGAGGCAGGTACCTCCTCATCGGTGTCTACCTGGTTCCGGTCTCCAAAGACGGCCAGACCTTGATCCCGATCAACGAGGATGATGAACTCCCTGGAGCCATTGGGGATGGACCAGAGCTCACCACGGTGGCGGAGGAAGCGACTGAGGAGGTGGGGAGTTCGTGGCCGGGAGATGGGGACGATGAGGCCTGGCTCGAGAAAGTGGAGAAGGAGACAGACTCCACGGTCAAGCAGATCACTATGACCGAGATCTTGGAGAACCGTGGTGGGCAGGCAGTGGTGGAGGCGATCAGCCGCTTCCACGCAAGGCTGAGGTTTTTGGGGCTTCCTGTCCTGCGGCTTCACTCGGATCGGGCAGGCGAGTATCAGTCTCGCGCATTCGACCGTTGGTGTCGTGAGAGAAACGTGATGCGCACCTTCACCGATGCCGACAACTTCCGAGGAAATGGAAGAGCAGAATGCGCAGTGGCACAGGTGAAAAGGGGCGCGAGAACACTCCTCTTGGCTGCAGGGTTGGATGAGGGCTATTGGTGCCATGCCGCTAGACACTGGTCCGAATGCAAGATGAGGAGGCAGCTGGAGTCGATGGGGTTGAAGCGGCGAGAACTGGCTCAGTTCGGTCAACAGGTGTGGGCCAAGAGGAAGCTGTATAGTGATCGGCAGAAGTACCTCTCCACTACAAGGACTCAGGTGAGAATCCTATGTCCAGCGGTCACAATGTCGTTGACGACACCTGGCTACTTCGTCCAAGAGCTTAAGACTGGGAAGTTCTTCCATACTGGGGACATTGTGGAGGTGGCCGAAGTCCCGGAGGACCTTGAAGTTCCGGCCCGAGAGGCAGGCTATCTCCACGAGGTTGAGGAGAGAGAGAGTCTTCCTCAGCCGAGGAAGAGACCTGGACGGGTTCGAGGAGCAGTCAAGAGCCTACAGGTTCCGGAAGAGGAATTCTGGGCGTCAGACTGGGGGGAGCTGCAGCAGCGCGGAGCTCAACTCCTGTCCGAGGAGCTCAGCTTGGTCGAGGAGGATGAGGGTGAGATCACCAATGAACGCTTCCTCAAGGCCCTCACTCTGGAAGTGGAGGCGGTGACGGAGGAGGCCAATCAGGTTGGCCAGTGGGAAGAAGCTCAGAAGGCCGTGGAGATAGAGAAGGAGATTGAGGAGCACCCGGAGTTCCTTCAGACGAGAATGGTGGGCTTGGCCGAGGTCAGGAAGAACATGGCCGAGTGGAGACCATCGATGGCGGAGGAGTATGGTGCCCTGGTCACAGAATCAGAGGCGGTTGAGCCGATCGACCGTGTCCGGATGGAAGAACTCCGGAAGCAGGCAGCCGAGTCAGGAAAGGACTTCGACCTGGTACCTGCGAAGGCTATCTTCAGTCGAAAGGCTGGCACGGGTCGCCACAAGTGCCGAGGGGTCGCCTGCGGAAACTTCATGCAGGCGAAAAGCAGCGAGTCCACCTTTGCGTCCGGAGCTAGTGGCATTGAGGTGCGGATGTTGATGAAGGTGGCTGCTGTTCGCGGATGGGACCTCTCGACCATCGACGTCAAGACGGCGTTCCTCAACGCTCCAGTGAATGAGGCCGCCGAAAGAGGCACAGTGATCGTGGAACCGCCTCGCATCTTCAAGGAGGCGGAGGTGCTTCGAGATCCCATGGAGTACTGGCTGGTCAAGAAGGCCTTGTACGGGCTCGTGACGTCTCCCAGGGATTGGTGTGTCCACAGGGATCAGAAGATCAAAGACTTCAAGTGGGAGACCGAGCACACTCAGTACATGATGGAGAGAACTGCTCAAGATGATGTCTGGGCGATCAAAAGCCTGGTCGAAGGGGGTGAAGGCTGGCAACTTGCGGGACTATGCTCCACATACGTGGATGACATCCTCATCACCGGAGAAAGGAAGGTGATTGAGCAGTTTCATCAACGAGTCCGAGAGCACTGGAAAATTGGTGAACCAGAATGGGTCGAAGAAGGCCGGGAACCAGTCAGATTTCTGGGAATGGAGGTTGAGAGGCGAGGGCGGGACTATGTGATCCACCAAAGGGCGTACCTGGAGAATCTCTTCATGGAGTATGACGAGAAGGGAAGGTCATCGCTCGGGAACATCAAGACGCCCGAGGAGGAGGATCCACCCCTGGCGATCGACGTGACGAGAGCCCAGAAGGAGACTGGAGAGCTGCTTTGGGTCGCCGGAAGAACACGCCCAGACATTTGCCTGGCAGTGAGCCTCATGTGCCAATGGGCGACCAAGAGGCCTAAAGGGGCGATCGCCATTGGAGCTCAAGTTCGAGCGTATCTTCGAGAGACCCGGGATGAAGGATTGGTGATCCGAGGAAGCGAGGGAGGACGGGATGCAGTGGAGGAGGTGCTGGGGGACATTGAGGTCTACTCGGACGCCTCGTACGCCTCATCTGACCTCAAGAGCCTGACCGGCGTGGTTGTGTGCTATGGAGGAACTCCGATAGCGTGGCATACGACGAGGCAGGCATTTGTCACCCTTTCAACGGCAGAGGCTGAGTTGATGGCGATGCTGGAGGGCCTGGTGACCATCCGCTCGGCGGGAGCTCTGGTTGAGGCAGTGCTTGAGAGAAAGGTGAAGATGAGGATGCACTCTGACTCCACGGCGGCCATAGCGATTGCTGCAGGCACCACCTCATCGTGGAGGACACGGCACCTGAGAATCCGAGCCGCTGGATTGACGGAGGCCCTTAGGTCGAGAGAAGTCTCTTTGAGACACGTGGCCGGTGTCGAGCTAGTGGCGGATGGAATGACGAAGCAGCTGACGGGCCAGCACCTCAAGAACTTCAAGGACACCTTGGGATTGGAAAAGGTCCATGTGGTGGAGAAGATGGAGGTCAAGAGGCTGGAGGTGGGAAGGAAGAGTCCTGACCCGAGGTTCGCCAGGGGGCTTGGGCTGCTGATCGCGGCGACGAGCATGATTACTCGGGTCGAGGCCAGCGACACCCAACCAGATGGAGGAGGCAGCGAGTGGTGGATCTTGGTTCTCCTCACAGCAGCGATTGCGATCATCGGAGACATTCTGTTCAGAGTGGGTGCCGCGGGTGTCAAGCGCTGGATGACGCCGAAGGAGGAGCTCCGGGTGAAGCTACTTCATCCAGATGCACGACTACCAGTCCGCGGGTCAGAGCAGGCAGCCGGTTTGGATCTCCACTCGATCATTGAGACCATGGTTCCATCAGGTGATAGTGTTCTGGTGAAGACTGGCTTGGCGATTGAACTTCCTCCAGGGACCTATGGGCGAGTGGCTCCGAGGTCGAGTTTGGCCATCCGGGGAATTGAGACCGGAGCCGGAGTCATCGACAGGGACTTCCGAGGGGAAGTGAAGGTGCTGCTGCGGAACTGGAGCGACGAGGACCTCTTCATCTACAAGGGTGATCGGGTGGCCCAGCTGGTGATCGAGAAGATCATGGAGGTTGGGGTCAACAGTGTCGAGGACTTGACAGAGACTGTCCGAGGCTCGAGAGGGTTCGGCTATTCAGGGCACGAGGAGATGTACCCGTGGGCAGAGCCTGACGACCCCCTTTACCAACGACAGGAACTGGGCACTCGAAATCCAGTCAGTCGGATCTCAGTCCGAGCTTTGAGAGTCCAAGGAGGGAGAAGAGGAGGAGCCGCAGAGGACCGAAGCACCCAGACCGATGAAGTTGAAGGGTCGGGACTATCTCAGGGACACCATGGACCTCCTGCTGAACCTCGAGTACACGAGTCAGAACTATGGTGTCGAGGAGCCTATGATGCTGAGGCGGAGGAGAGGCGCAGGGCGAACCTTGGTCTGGGGATGAGTGCCTGGGACCGATCTATGGTTCGACGAGGACCCCGACGTGATCACGGGGGCACGTGGGTGATGATGGACTCTGAGGGGGTACACTTCATCGCACGAGACCCAGGAGATGGCCGAGGACCCCCGCGACACATAGACACTGAAGCTCGAGGGAGTGACACGAATGGAGAACAGCCTCAGGAAGGGGGAGCACCACCAGAGGAGAGTCGCCAAGGGAGATTGCCCAGGGTGGAACCGTTGAGGCTGGTCACCACGGTGGAGAAGGACATCGTGTTGGGGAGGTGGTACCACGAAGAGGAAATGTGGGACTACCTCAGGACACCCGGCTTTCAGAAGGGCTTCATCAATGAGGCTGTCCTGAAGATCATCTCCACCCCACCGAGGCGTACAGCCGCAAGAGACTCCTGGGAGCACCTGGTTGACCACGATGGGGGCCGGAAGATTGCCATCAGGGTGCACTACCAGGATCGAAAGAAGCTGTTTGACTTCGAGTCCAAGACCCTCTTGGAGGAAGAATGGGGACCGTGGAGAATGACGGTGGCATGGCCTACGGTCGCGAAGAGGAAGGTGATCCTAGTGGATGAGCGAAATGGGAGGAAAGGGTGTCATCTAGACACCTGGTGGGGGTATACTTTGTTCAGAACTCCGTGAAGGAGATGAAGGGCTTGAGCGTGGCGGAAGCTTTTTGAAAGTTTGGTGGCACCTCTTTCGACCGAAGCGCTCGAGGGGGAGTGCAGGTGCACCAAGTGAGGTTTGAGGTACATGAGAAGTGTACCAAGTTTGCTAGGCTTCGGTGCACAAATCGAGTGTGTACCATGTCGGATCGCATACTTTACCGGAGCCCTTTTTTGGAGCAGAAAAAGTCCGCTGCAGGACACGCGGGGAGAACCCACCAACATTTCCCCACCAGTGAAGATCCTTTGCGATATTTGGTGAGTTTGCACCACTGTTTGTGGCCTCAAGCTTCATATTTGAAGTTGATCCTTTCGCATCCTTTCGCCAGTTTCTCAGGGTAAAAAAGGTGATCTTGGCCACGTGAATGCGAAGTTCGCCTGAACCTGGCCATCCCAACCTGATCGAAGGTCTTGGGTGCCAAGGGGATCTCTGAAATCCAGCTGCCCAGCAGAAAGGTGCTCAACTCCTTGGTCGCAAACAAGGCACCCGCCAGGTGGAGCTGAAGGAAAAACGACGAGAAATGACGAGACGGGGAGCTTCATTGGCGGCACACCCTACTCACTCCTCTCACTCCCGTTAGTGACCGTGTTTTCAGATCCCTTCGGACGGCCCGGACGGTGTTCCAAGGCACGAAGGCTTGGGTCGCCAAGTCACCTGGCCCGGCACGAAGGGGGCCATCTTTGGAGAAGGGTCGGAGCTGAAATGGATGTTCATGGTATGATTTTCAGGTGTGTGCTGGATTTGTCCCACCAAGGAGCATCTACAGCATCTACAGTATTCCCCTCCACTCCCACGGTGGTCGAGCAAGGTTGACTCTAGAGGGTGGTTGGCAAAGACCTGGAAATGGGAAGGGTAAATAGACTGAAAGCAAATCCTTCAACTGTGATGCGGGCATCTCTTTTAGCCCCACAGCCATTTGCTCTCGACATGCGCGTGAAAACGTGCATCCTCAAATTGGCCACGCGGCCAGATACTGGAACACTCCGTCAGTGCTCGTTCAGCTTTCTCGTCAGACTTGCTCACAAAAAGCAATTTCATGACAACTTCCTCAGTTTGGGGAACCCGAGAAACATGCAAGCAGCATGCTCAGTTTGGCGACAGAGTTCTCCATCAAACATCGATGGTCGTCGAGCCCGCGGTCGTCGAGCCCGTGCTGCTCAGAAGTTTCTGGAGATCTGGCAGCAACTTCGCCGTGGTCTTCTTTTTGTAGTCGCCTCGGCTACAACATCACGCCGTTGCAGGGGGTCAATGGAGGGTATTGGAGTACTGGACGAGGTTTACTGTGCTTCTCCATGGGCCACAATCCTTGTGGCAACCGGTGACGCCATACATCCCTCCCGCCCAGGCACCGTACGTGCTGAAGGTCTCCAACAAGCGTTGCTCTTCCACCTCTGCCTTCTTATCCAGCACCAGGTAGAGCACAAGAGTGAGGACCAAGCGACTGGCGCCTCAAACGTCCGAGGATAAACATGCACCTCCTGGAAGTCAACTCATAAAGCTGTCCAAATAGGAAGGAAAACCCCATTTCTCAAAAATCATGTGGAGATGGCTCTTGCAACTCGAACTGCACAGTGCTTGGCACATGGCACCTGCAAGAACGACGTTGCAACGAAGCTCACCAACACCCGGTCGATCAGAACCCGAAAAGAATATCTCCGCACATCGCCCCAGCAACTCTGCGTTTTCAATGCAACGTGCTGCAACATGCTGATAAGCCCCACACCTGTCATCCCCCATCCCACATGGTCGGGAACATTGAACGAAAACACCAAGTATAGCGTTTTTGTAGTTCTTGGCTTGCAGGCGCTTCGTTGACACGTCTCTAACCTCCATCCCCCCCCCAGCGAAGCTCGGCCGAGCTTCTGTTGCTCACAATGGCGGCCCCAAAGCAGAGCAGAAGCAAACCACCGTAAATGGGATGACGGACATACTCGAAGATGCCCCCCGTCTTCAACTCGGACCTCGGCATGTCCGAGCGATCCGAGCGTTTTTCGGCAGGTCCGAGCCGACTGCCGTTGGGAGTCGTCCCAAACCCTTGGGAGTCCGAAAGGTCCCAAATCATCTACAGTCCCAAATGGCCAATGGCAAGCCGCCAAAGCACGGGTCTTGCCAGGAAGCGAGTCTCTAATGTTGTGACTGCCGGTGCAGCAGCTCCGCCCAATGTTGGAACCCCCGTGGTCCGTGGTGTGTGGATTTTTTGGAGTTCAGCACAGATGTGCCAGGGGCATCTTTGTGGGGCTAATTGGTGCCAGCGCAACACGCGAAGGGTTCCGCAAGCTCAGGGAGACACTTCCCCTGCAAAAATCAAGGTCGCAAGCAATCCAGTTGGTGGTAGGGTGTGACATCGAAGAGTCAGAGTGTATATATATTTAAAAAAATTTACAATTTTGAATGAAAAACCATCGTCCATAATCGTCCTGAATCTGGTTGTGAACTGTGATGTCCTTAGGCTCCCACTTCTCAGGAGGCACCACCCAGGGTGACAAACCGCCGCCCAGCTCGTAGAGGGCTGCAGCAATCGCAGCAGCGCCCGCGAGCACGCAGACGGGGCCCGCCAAGAAAAACAAGGAACCCCCCAGGAAGGGCACGGTGCCAACCAAGATGCAAAGCAATAGGAAGACCTGCAATGCTTGTACAAGCAGTGCTCAAAAGGCCAAGCATGCATGCCAGGTTTCATCCACAAGCCACTAGCTGGCTGCAAGATCTGACCATGATGTCAACCGTCAACACCACAACTAATGAACAGTTCCTCAACGAAGCACTTGCATCAGCACCCCTGCCATCTGCCCACACCTGAGCAGCCACATATTCCTCGCCCCGTTCGCCCACTTTGCCCTGCATGATCTGGTCCTTGATCTTCCTGTGCGCGGCGCACCAGCAGCACCCACCACCCCTGCCTCTTGAAAGCCTAACCACGCAGAGTGGGAGAGGGTGTCACCCAAAATGGAGCCTCTGGTAAGTCCCACAGTGTCTTCCAGCCCGCACGCCACAACTCTCTTTGTAGAGACATGGGATCAACACCTGCGATCGATCTGGCCCAAGGCACGAGAGCACCTGCTGAATATCCTGAGATTCCGCCTGTCGGGCCTCGGTACTGGGCAAACGGAACGGTGGGGTCCAAGTTGGTCCAAGACCACCGTGCAAACCCACACATCTGTGTTGGGGACGTCCTTGGTCTGGCGGGACTCCTGGAAACCGGCTCCGCTGCATTCAAAACCAACTCGACATATATGGCGCATTTTTGGGTTACAACTGATCCAGTTCTACTCGACTACTTCTTCGCACTAAACTCCACCCCAACACGGAAGGTTCTGGTCAATAAAACTCATGGTCTGCGTTGCTTGGCGGAGCCGTTCACCCACCTACTCCACCCCATTCCAACAGAGCAATTCACATCCCTCAAATGAACAGAAATCGATTTGGGCATCCAGTCTCTGGATGCCTTGAGGGCAGTTGGTGCATTTTGGACTGTGAACCCTCCTGCGCCGGCCCTTTCTTGCGCTGAGGAGCTGTGCCAGCTCTCCGCGCGTGGTTGGCCTCACGAGGTCTCGTCGTTCTGAATTGGATCGGTGGATCGTCATCCGGTGGCCCATAGAAGAGCGTATGTGATAGATTGGGGTAGTGGTAGCTGCCCGCGGGGTATTCCCTTTTGACATCTTTCGACCACTGATTGGATTCGAGTCCACGATTTCACAGAAAGACATCAAGAGTGCCCCCACCTGAAGCCAACGCGTTGGCTGCACACCTGCCATCTGACGTTGCGTCGGTTGCCGTTGTCACGACCGAAGGGGCCCACTGAAAGGCAGCACCTTCTGTCTGACAATCAAGTGCCAAACTCGTTCACGTTACGCATGATTTCAGAACTCCGCAGCACACGCACGAACACACATACTTGAGGATAACCTTGATTGAACTTGCCCCAGCGATAAAAACCAAGGCCTCCGATGAAGCCTGGGAGGTTCGCCGCGCCCAGCAGCAGAAGGATCATCAGCAACCGACTTCGATGCTTCGCCATGGCTCAACGGCTCAACTACCGCACCGCACTGGAGATCAGCGGTGCAAGGAGATCTGCGGTCACAAGACCCTTTTTGCTGAGTTGGCACTTCGGCCATGTCTTTTGAGTTTTGAAGTTGATCAGCTCCCAGGTAGCCGCGCTGAGAGCCATGAGACCAAAGAATCCTCCGGGCGTAGACTGAAGAAAGTCGCTGGATCGCCATGAATGTCCTGCTGTGGCCTCCCCAGCTAAACCAGATGCCGTTCGCACGAAGCCATGAGCCAAATCACCAAATCACCCACACCCTGCGCTCGGGCCTTGCCACTGCAGGTCTGCCTGAGTGCGGCACAATGGCACAATGGGCGTGGCTCAAATGCTACGGCAGTATACTGTATCTGCATATGAGTGGTGAGTGGTCCACACTTTTTCACCACCCCACTTGTGAGGGCCCAAACCCAACTGTCTGATGAACTACACGCTGGCACTTTGGCCGGCCTGTCAGTGTGAAACTAGCTCATTCTCAGGCATAGGGCGGAGCAGGTAGGGTACACAAAGCCCCTGCGCATTGTAGCCCGTTGGGATAGTGTGTGTCAAAATCCCGCTCAGGACCGGCAGCTGAAAGATCATGAAGGGAAAAGAGAGAGAAGCCCATAAAGAATCCCTGGGCAAAAGCAAGACCGGCACAGACTGGGGCCACATAGGATTCTTTGCAGAAAATCCTATGTCCAAGAAGCGAACTCCAAGCCCCAAGAACCAAACTAATCGACCAAATTCAAGCACGACGAAAACTCTCCAAGTCTCGGCCGAAGAAAACGCGCGAGCGGAATTGCCAGCGCTGGAGGTCCACCAGGAGATCTTGGTCGAGCGCATTTTGCAACTCTCCACGGCTGGCCACGTCGAGCATCGTGAGGTAGTAAATCAATCCACAACTCACCTGAAAAGACTCGTGCGATTTGAGTGCGAGTTGAGTTCCTCTCCATCAGTCCTTCTGGGCACAACATACAATCCAAAACGAACACCGCGCGGGATGATCAATCGAGTCCCAGGGCTTCCCTTGACCAGCAAATCCTCGAAAGTCACCAATGAACCTCCCACTGAACCTCCTTGGTCGATCTAGCCCAGCCAAGGCACTGAACAAGGCACGCAAGCAACATGTCCTGCAGCCTAAAGGCAAGGCCCACCATGCCAGCACCAATCTTGAGCTTTCAGGGTCGGTCATCCGCACTAGGGAGTCTTGCTCATGGTTTAGTCATGAGCAAGAATTCCAGGGCCCAACCTGGAGGGGTTAAGATGGTGAATTCTTCAACAGCCTGGTGGGCACCCACCGAGCACATCCTCCCGACCGCCGAGCTCTAATCAACACAGAGGCGCCAGGAAGCAGCAAAGGTCATAGCCCAGCAGTCCTGCTAGCCGCCCACCACGGCCCGGGTCGTAGTCGTGGCAGCAACCTGAGACCTCGAGCAGCGGCTCTGATCCCTCATTGTAAATACGCAAAAACGTGAATGGAGAAAGGATCTCCCACAGGTGGTGATAGATTCAGCTTGCCATGGAAAGCACAATGTCACAACAAATCCAGCACTTCACTCTCTCAACCAGGACTGATGCCCAATTCCCTGATACAATGAGGAACACTCTTGATGAATGCTGGGAAAGGTTACAGCGCCTCTGACTTCGACTCCTTCTCCTCCGCAATGTCGCGAACTCCACCAAAGCTGCGGCTGCAGGGGAGCAGCAAAAAGGCAATCCAAACCAACCTGAACCATCGAACGCACACGAGCATGCGAGCACGGGTACCCCCACGAGACACTGACCCGAGACCCGAAGAAGCGGGTGCCATAGGATTGGACAGTGTAAGGGCAATTCCTGATATGGCTCCAGTTCTCAGGAAGGAGAGAAATGCTTCTAGTTGGGAATTGGGCGCCCCACCATCCACAACCCAACTACCCACCCACCTATATATACTTATATACTTATATGCATAAAAGAATAAGGGCTGCGGGTTTTGTGCGACAGTTTTGGGTTTTTTTTGGCAAACCCCTAAAACTGTCGCAAAAAAGAACCGTCCCATAATGGTCAGCCAGCGCACAGACAGCTGCCAAAGAAGTCCACGGAACTCGTCACAAGGTCTTGGCTCACACCCGGACCCTCCGTGTCGCAGGTGTGGGTGCCTCCTGCCGCAAAGTCTTTGGCGGCGGAGTCGACAAAGGGTCACCAAGACTTTGGCAAGAAGTGGAACCAGGGCGGTGTTCTACATCACTCCCGCTCTCGCGTGGGAGGAGGTAGGATTGAAACACCTTGTTGGTACGCCTTGACCACCCCTGCCCAGCCTGGCTTCACACACATGTAGTATTTCACCGCAGCCAGGCACGCCATGAAGACTCCGGAGGAGAGGAACTGGGCGCCTCTCATTTGTTTCACTTCGCGCTCTGCGAAGTGTTCTATCTAATTGGCCATACATACATGGCGGCGAGAACGGTTCAGCACCCAAATGCGCGTTCAAAAAATGTCGTGTTTTTTGACCTGGGCCTGCACCTATGTCGAAATCCCAAAAAGTCGCCGACGCGCCCAACCAGCCTTTGAAGGTGAGGATGAATGTGACCATCTGATATTCATCCGGCGGACGCCCAGCAATAATCAAAAGAAGGATGAGGGTAAAGAAGGCGACTCGGATGCCGAACATGGGAGTGATGCTGATGACGGTCAGCAAAAGAAAGAATGGGCTCTTGATCTGCCCGAAGATCGAGATATCAAAGGGCAAGTAGCTGTACAAGAGCTTGGCCCGGAGCCAGCGAGGCCCACAACACATCGGCTGCGGCCCTAGCTCAGCTAAAGCCCGGTGGTCTGCAGCCCGGTTGAGGATCTGCTCCTGGGGGCCGGTCTCCAGATTAGGGTTGCACACTGACTGAGTGACATGCAATGCTGCCAGGGAAGATTCGTTTCGTTGTGAAACAAGGGGCTGCTTGGTGATGGGATTCTGGATCATGTTCAAGCCACCCACCCCTAGGCTCATCTACAGGGCTCTTTCAGATCCCCCTTCTCTCCTGGGCATCAAAGACCACCGACTCGATGTACAGCGTCAGGTCATCCCAGAAGAGGTCGATGAGGCGAGCCAGGCGGTCTCGCACACTGATCCACATGTCAGGATCTGACAGCGCCGCATCCTGACTGCGCTGAAGCGAGACTGCTACTTGCAAAGAAACGCCCCAAATCCACGGCGACTAAAATCCTGCTTTGGCAAAAGGCTCGTGGCCGTTGCTTTTGTCCCTCCAATGGTTTGCCAGGAAAACGCAGCCTACAAAAATGCAAATGACGCATTAAACCATGAATGCATTACTTGCACCACTGCAGCTGCACAAAACTGCTCCAACCTGCTAGATTGACAAAAGGAGCTTAATCCCAGGAAGCCGGCAGTCAAGATTGTGAGCTAGGTCTCGCAGCCTTTGAGATGTGCAAATAAGATCAAACAAGCGCTGGTTTGCAAACTCCGTGAGTCCGTTTAAGCCGGTACTCGCTTGTCTGGCCCTGACCCTCATGGCTTACAGATCTGACCAATCGAATTCCCGTGCGTCTTGCGCCAAAAATCCCAGCGTCTCTCGTGCTCGCGTTTTACATCCTCCCCGCCTTGGTGGCCTCTCGCAGCGCCAGCAACACGCGGGCCCGGATGGGCTTCGAAAGGCTCACCAAGCGCTCCAAGGCTTCGACCTGCCGCGAAGCCGAACAACCCATCGAAATCATGCCATCCTGCCACCTCGGCCCCTTGTGCAACTAATGGCTCAAATGAAGATCAAATGTGAGCTCAAGCGGGTCACCACGTCGCCCTTTCTCCACCTTGGCACCCCGGAGTAGGTGGCCCCTCCGGCCGAAGCCCGCGTCACGGAGCGCCACCAGGTCCACACGGTCCTGGCTCGTGCAATCCGCGGGCCACGCCGATTCCGCAGATCGGATCAACCTCCAACATGCCTCCAAACCCCAAAACAAAACAGTTGAAAATTGTGTTTTCCAGGGATGGCTCTGCAATTCCTGAGGATTCCTCGAACGAAGTGGCTTTCCACCTTCCAAACCTTCCCATGTCAATTTGCTTCTGCGCCCCCTGTCCTTCATCTCTACCAGGTACTGCTTCACCTCAGTGTACCCCTCGCGCCCCCGCTGCGCGCCCTGCGCGGCGCTCTGCGCCGCCACGCCCAGCGCCGCGCTGGCGGCCGTCCCGGCGGCAGCGGCGGCCGCGGCGCCCTTGGAGGCGGCGGAGCTGAGCAGCTGCATGGCGCTCAAAGAGGCAAAGAAGATGCGAAGAAACAATTTTTGGAGAGGTGCCTCCTTCCATCCCAAACATACATGGCCGAGTCTGCGAACTTTCAGTTGGCAATGGCATGTGCAACACTTGATCAAAATCATCCCAACATGTAACATGTGCAAGTATATAAGCATTGATCCATGTCTGTCGGGCCATTCTAATGAGATTGCACTGTGTTTCGGCTGTCTGCGTCCACAACTGGTGCCCTCTTGCTCACTTGGGAGCTTGGGTCATTCATGGCGGCTGCTTCAATGCTGCGGGCTTGCGGGGCAAACACTACAGGAACACCGACCCAAGTTTCATTCCACCATAGCAAAGCCAGGGTGTGCGAGTACATGCACAAACTCGTCCAGGGGGTTCCTCGCTTCAATCTGAACAGTCTGAACAATGACTCAAGTACATCGAAACAGAAGGTGGTTTGTGGAACAAGATCCTGATTTACGTGTATCGCTTCACGCTTCAGCTGCATCCCCACACCTCGCGATGGGCGATGCTCATCTTGCGCAGCTCGGTCCAAATTGGGTCGAAGGAGGGGCCCGTGCACTCCAAATGTGGCAAGGCCTGCGCAAACGAAAAACTTGACAGGTCAGGTGAATTGTAAAACTCAAGAACAGCGATATATCTGTACAATTGGTGTGCCATATGGTATACACAAAGATTCACACACTCATTGACACCCATACATGTGTGTAAATATTAATATGTGTATATATTGTATACACACACACACATCGCGTGAAGCAGCTATTTGCAGAGTGATGGTGCTGACTGATCTCAACACGACCCAGGAAAAGTGGCCCTGGATTCTCCCGACCAAGGTCTGGAGCCAAACCATTCCAAGAGCCTTTCGCATGTCAATGTTTTCCCAACAACAAAAAATGTCCATGTCCTCCTGTCCTGCCCACCTCCTGGCACCCTGAGCGGGCGAGGGCCACTTGTGGCATGCCACTGGCATTGTCTGGGCGGTGGCACGGACATCTGGGGCGGAAAACCATCCGTGGCCTGACCAAACCCCGAGCTTTTTGTTGGAAAACCATCTGCGAAGTTGAATCCGTGAACAGCACAGGGGCCGAACTGGGATAGCAAAGGCTTTCGAGGGAGAAGATCTACGGTTCATTCTTGGCGGACAACCCAAGTCGCGCAATTTTGTCGCAAGTTCTAGCTGCTAGAATTTTGGCTCCCAGCTCAAGGTAGGGCTGTGTAAATGACTATGAGTTGTCCCATCTACTTGACGGGTAGAATAGTGTGAAGTAATCGTGCATTGTGGGGGTGCACTGCAGGAGACATGCGGATTTAGAATCTGTCGTGCCTAGCCTGTCTGCTGAACCAACCTGCCGCAAGAAGACCCCATTCATGTTTTCTTGGCCGCAGAAGCCATCCACTGAGCCTCAGGCTCAAGAGCATCAGTGGCAGAAATTGGGGCTGCAATCAGCTCCATGGCTACGGCCCATTGCATGGCTGCGGTAACATGATTTCCAGACATGACGCTCACATGGTTGCATTCAAAGGCTCCAATCCGGTATGCCATCTCTCTCGGCTGTTGGGCCCCAACCCACGTCTACGTGAGAAGAATCCAGACGTAGCAGTGATCATTTGGGCATATCCTATCCTAATCCCTGTCACAGTAGATGATGATGGTTAGTAAGGACCTTTTTTCTAAAATAGTGATCCTTTTTGACCGACTGTTAATTCAGGTGCTGGGACACCCCCAAGTGATAATATCCACTGAAAAACATACAGCCTTCCAATCCGGTATGCCATTCCTCCACTTAGCAAAGACTAGTCTATATTCAGGTGTGGTGGGAAGGTACAGCCCGCATCCTTGGCCACCATGCATAGCCCTAAGGGACGGAAATTGATGGTGTCCAACCCTTCAGGAAACATTACAGTATGATGTCTCACCCCTAATGAGGCATGATGTGTGAACAAAACAAGACCAAAGACATGCCACCTTCTGTAGCATGCCACGATGTCTCATCCTTCATGGGCTTATAAGGTCACAGTAAGAATGACGTATGGCATCATCTTCACATTGCAAGTCGCTGCGTGTCGCTCTTCTCATAGGGTGATGATCTAGGCATAAGGAGGTGAAAACCTCTTTTGCACCACCTTCCCTACTCTACCGACTGGTTTAAGTCGTTCTCCCTCTCGCATACACTGTCTTCCCACATGCTTGTTTGCCCCATGTGATCTTGAACCCTATGGCCCAATCTTCATTCCTCTCACCCACCATGTCCCACCACTCACCAGCCTTTCGCGCCAGTTCTGGGCCTCATCAAAGACCTGAAACTTTGTGCTGGGAAGCTACTGGTGGGCTGGAGTCTTCAAGTTTCCTTTTTAGGGTACAGTAGTTTAGCAAGGCTAGCACGTCTTACAGAAAAAAGTCTTATCCAAAATGTTGGTACAGTATCCCGAACCACTCAGCACACCAACCAGTGACGTGTGTTTGGAGACTATTTTTTGACCAAAACCATGCAAAAAAATATCAACCTGAACTCTCTCGGACTGGTTGATAACACATGAGATTACACACCACGCAACGACTATTAGCCTGTGCCGTGCTGCCCTCGATGAAGAGACCCGGACGAAAAGCGGTCATCCGTCTGGTGGGAGAGACGCTCGACCGCCTAGCCGCTCGACGGAGGCGCCGCAAAAACCATCTTTGAGCCTTGCTCTCCTACCACAAAAAGCCGCACTCAAACACAAGTAAACAGTCCTGACACCGTAGAAGACTCCAAACAAAGCGATCTCGGCTTGCCTAGCCCTCCCTCTCTAGCACCGCATCCACCGTTAACCAAGGTGCCTCCTTCAGATCTTTCAACTGCCCTTGCCACTCCGGCGTCGTTGTGGTTGGTTCACTCCAACCACCCCACAAGTCCTGAAAGAAACGCACGGCAGCCGGAGCTCGAGGCTGGGGAGAGTGATGTGCATGCCTAAGGGTCTTGTAATTTCTCTTGTCACTTACTCCAGTTGCTCACGAATCTGCTCATGGTATGCCCAACTTGTCCGAAGCCAAGTCCACTTTCACTACATCCCTTTCTCCTGCATTCGTGGAGGAGGTGCTGGGGCCTCAAATGAACAACATCTCAGACCAAGCAGGCCCTCTTTCATGCGCGCATGGTGGAATGAACAACGAGATGGAAAAGGGACCTGGCAAATCTTCCCTCCTAGAACCATTCCACTGGTATAAACATGGCACATGTACCATAATGGGTTAAGTGTAAAACTGAATCTGGTTGGGGCATTGGGGAACCTCGGGAAGAGCTCCACTCCTCACAGAATCTTGCCTGGGTGTGTCGGAAGGCATCCGTCATCTGCTGCACCCTCAGATGCCAACTTCTAGCGCAAACGATGCGGTTTCTGCGGAGGGATGCCACACATGGTTGGGTCCACTTGGACCCTCAGAAACAAAAGTAAAAATCCGGAAAAATCAGTCATTCTCACCTAGATACCTGAGTCACGTAGTCAATGGAGGCTTGCCTCACAAAAGAATTGATCTGGGAGCGCCACAAGCCATCCAGCTGGCCCTGGCAAGTTTCAGGTCGACGATAGTACGATAGTAAACAAAGCGGTCATCTGCAAGCCCCAAATATCTACTTCGGGCAGGCCATTCTTGAGAGATGCCAATCCAAAGCGTCGCACCATTACAAACCGCTCAATGAATTCTCGAACACAAGTTTGCACTGAACAACCACCACTGCACAATCTTTCATGCAAAATGGAAGGATTTAGCCTTGCACGTAGCAGCTTTTGTACCACAACCACCCCTGACACGCGCAAAAATCAACCCACCTGAGACACGCTCAGCCCAGCGCCCATTTGCGGCATGTACGGGTAGGGAAAGGCCTGCCCTGACACGCGTGCTCACGTGAACAGTGAACAAGCGCGGGCGCGGGGAAGTTGCACACTGTGTTGCTTCCGTCCCCCAAAAACACGCATCCAGCCAAAAAACAAGAAAAAAATAACTCTTTTAAAAAAAAAAAAAGTGTATATATACATATATTCGGGGTTTAGAACATTTTGGGCCAACCAGGTAAGTGGCTACAAAGTTAGCATTTTGAAGGTAGGGGCAAGGGTGCACAAACTGCCCCCAAAATCAACATTCCACATACAAGGTCCTTCTGAAAATATGTTCGCAAGCCTTCGCGCCCTATGCCGTTCCGGGAGGGCCGTCACAGCTCATTTACTAGTCCGCACGCACATGCGTTTCACTGTCTGCTGGCCTTTCAAGGGCACGCGCTTCGTCTCAGGAACAAACGCAGTTTGAGGAAGTTCCATCAAAAACCGTTGGATTGGCATTCAATGGCGGCGGTTTTCATATATTGAATTCCCGTGGCCCACAGGGATATCTGGCAGAGCTGGGAGGTGGAAGTCTCAAGCCATGGACGTTGCAGGAGTTTGATTTGTGTGGTAAACAGCTGTGATGACTTGCCAGGTGATGAAACCTCACGCGATGAGGTCTGATGTGACTGTTTGTGATGAAGCAAGTGTCTCAAACTTACTACCCATAACTCCGCAACTGTCCATAACTCCCTTGGTCTGGTCACCTGCTCTCACCCTATGTCGCCGGTCGTCATCGTTGCCCACGGTCGCCTGCTGGAGTGTTTCGGCCCAGCTCCTGGATCCGCCGCTCCATGGCATCGAGGCGGCTATCTAACGCCTCAGGATTGGCCAACAAAGCAGCTCGGGATGTTGGGAATCAGGTGCCCATCAAAGCTTTCATGAACATCTGCTGTCATTTGCAAGGAAAAAAACTAAGCCCAGTTTGGAAACCTTCGGATGATTCTTGAAGTTTCAGTGACTCAGGGGCATGCCAGCAAAACTGGAGAGACTGCAGAACCCTGCCGCGTGCGCATGTGCACGTGGAGGGTTCGGTTAGGTTACCCGCTTGTATGATGTTTTTTCCACTTGTTGCCGGGGCAGTCTCACAGCTCCTCCAATTTGGCTCACATACATGCCTCATGGACAACCGAAGGATGTTTGAACAACATTGAACAACCACCTTCCCCGAACGAGTTGCAGCCTCTCGATTCGCGATCAGCCGTTTTTGTTGCCAGATCTCAGCACATGCCAGCCAGCCCTTCAGATAACTTTGTCTGTACGTAAGCTGCGCATCGCAAATTCTTACCACCCGTAGTTCGCGGTTGCCAAAAACACGACCCGCCCTGTTTCGAGCCTCTGCTTCGAGCACAGGGGCCTGAAACAGCGGGATCAGGGATCACAAATGGTGGACAGGCCAATGCACAGCGCCCGTTTGGCGCGCACACGCGTTGGAACAGTTTCATTGGGCGGCGTGCTCATGACGCTGTAAAGTTGGCATGTGGGAGCATCAGGGGCTTATTGGGATGGTTTGCTAATTGCTACGCAGTCAATGGTCGCCACTCAGAAAATTGGCTGATGAGGCTTGGAACGAACATTTTGACCGTCCCCACTATTGAAATCAGTATGTACATGCAAATAGGTATGTACATACAGTATGTGTATATATATATAGGGGCCCGGATAAGATGGTATATGTTGTAGGGAAATTAAAATTGCATGTGGTCCATTTTTGATCTCGAAATCAACGTGGGGATATGCCATCTATCGGGGACCCACCCCTATGATTTTTGCACACACGTTCATGAATACTAGATGGCATATGGACCCCATGGTACGGAACATATGGAGATGTTGCATGTTGCCCTGAGAGTCTGTCAATCTTAGTGGTGCTCCCATCATCCCAGCTCTCCCTCTCCACCTCTTATATGCCCCTCTGCTCTTCTCTTTCCTTTGTCGCCTATCCCCTACTGTCCCTCCCTTCTTCCTTTGTATATATATATATATATACATCTCTCTCTCTCTATCTGATTAGTTGTCTTATGTTTTTCCCTTGCCCGGCTCTTTCCTCTCTTCTGGTTCCTCTTTCATTTGAACCTGCTATCTCTTCTTT